AAAACTGAGTAAAACGGGGTATCGAGCCTATGTGATTTTGTGGTCATTTTATCATCAGATTTTTAATTAGATCAAGCATATTGTTTACCTAACCTCATTATTGATTAGACGAAAAAGAAAAAGCTTCAAAAATAGTCCTCGATTCGCCCACAATCGAGATCCATTATTGGCTAAAAAACTAAGTAAAACGGGATATCAGGCTTATGCGGCTTTTTGCTCGTTTTATTGTCAGATTTGGGAAAAAATCGAGTATGCTGTTTACCTAACATTAGTATTGATTAGACAGAAAACAAAACGCCCTAAAAATAGTCCTTGATTCACCCACAATAGAGATCCATTACCGGTTAAAAAACTGAGTAAAACGAGGTATCGAGCCTATGCAACTTTTTGCTCTCAATTATGATTTCCCAAAATTAAAACTCTCCATGGCTACCACAACCACCAACTCTAAAATTTTTCCTCTAAAAATATTCTTCACCTCCATGGCTGCCACAACCACCATCTCTACCACCATTGGCGCCGTTATCGCCTCAAAAATTATGTAGTCTGTTGATAATATATTGAAATTCAGAATTGGTAATGATGAGTTATAGTGACAGATAATATTGAAATTGATCTTGATTAAAGTAAATCCATTGGTAGTTGGTTGTCTTGTATCTTTGATTTAAAAATTTTAGTTGAGCTTGAAGCTGACCCTTTTCTGCTTCATATCATATGGATGGAGCTTATTTCTAAAATACGAAATTCTATTTTTGTGGTCATTTTATCATCAAATTTTCGATGAGATCGAGCATGCAGTTTACCTAAACTCAATGTTGATTACACAGAAAAGAAAATGCGCAAAAAATAATTCTCGATTCACCCAAGAATCTTTGTACTCCACAATAAAAGGATTTCTTGCCCTTTGGATGCCAATCTGAATATCCATGGATTCGAAAACATGTATCCACTATATGACCAGTACCATTACAGTGAGTACACTTCTGATCCTTCTTTGAGGTAGACATTTTCCTAAAGGCCATTACAACCCCTTCTCCAATTTTGCCTCCAAGCACAGCATCTTGGTGATTAGCTTCTGCACAAACCATAGCATAAACAACTTGTAAATCTAGAAGTGGTTTAGTAGCAAGTACGCGACCTCAAACCCCATCTAACTGAGGGTCAACACCAGCAAAAAACATATACACATGTTGGGAGTCGTATATTTCACAATATCATTGGCACACTCCATGGTACAATCATCTATATCATCAAGTTCCTGCCATATTTTCCGTAGTTTGCCAAAATAAGAAATAATAGAACCTTCATTCAGGCGGACAAAAATTTCCTGGCAGTGTAGTTGATAGACTTTTGATGCATCCTGGTCAACCAAATATGTCCGTTTGGCAGCCTCCCATATTTCCTTCGTCGTAGCCAACCGAAGGAAGAGAGATCTGATGTCCTTTGTCATTGCATCAAGGAGCCGAGATTTGACCAAGTAGTTTTCATCTTCCCATGCTTCATATTCCTCCGAACGAACATCTTTTGGTGCAACCTTAGTACCCGAAATAAAACCCCAACATTTCCTCCCACGGATCTTATTTTGAGCGATTAAAGACCACTCAACATAATTGGTACCATCAAGTCATTTCGAAGTGATTACAGAATAAGTTTCCTACATATGGAATTCAGCTGATATAGCAGTAGATTCATTCTTCTTTAAAGAATCATTACTACTTTCTTCTAAATCACCCATAGAAAGATATAAAAAATTTCGCAACAGGCTGATATGAATAGAAACAACAATTGTGAACACAAGACCAAGCTTCAATTCCTAGGGTAAAGAAGAAGAGATTGAAGGAGGCTCTGATACCATGTCAATAAACACAATTGTGGAACAATTTTTTGATGTATTTCATTCATTGTAATTCTACAATATATAGGCTAGATACAAGAACATTTACAATGAAGAAATAAAAGAATTAATTATAGAAAATATCCTATAATTATGAAAGAAATAATATCATATAATTAAGAACACTGACCATATCAGTCTATTAATTATAGGATATTCTAGATATGTGTAGCACATATGAGTATTGTGATAAGTGATCACTTGTTTTATAGGATATTCTAGATATGTGTAGCACATATGAGTATTGTGATAAGTGATAACTTGTTTTATCACTACCAACGCTTTACAAACATTTACAAGCAGCAATCAGTCCATCACAATCTTTCCAGTCACTTTAATTAATGCTTGAAATGGTAAGATCCACAATCCCATCCTGCAAGTACATACTACAGCATCTCTTGGTTCATTTATTGTTAATGGGATCAAATTAAACTACGTGAAAGTAAGCTTCAAATACAAAATCTAGATTCTGTGTACTTTCTGAAAATTTCCGTCACGAACTCTTCTTTTCACGCATTTTGGTTTGACGTTAATCATCAACATGCATGCATGCATGACCTTGTGGAGCATTGAACATTAATTTTGTTTCATATACATGTTTGGACAACAACAATGGTGTAGTCTCTTTTTCAATGGTCCATTATTATCAGTATTTTCATTTTAGTAATATCCCTAAACAGCCCATCTCCAGGATTATGAATGGACAATATATCGATCTTTTGGCAATAGAAAGACTCGATCTCTACCCTCCATTGGAGCAAATCTTTTATAATAAAGGCAGCATGGCATTTGGGGCCCAATCACCATATCTCCTTTCTAAATTCTTCTTGCTATTTCTGTTATACCACACACAACCACATGAGCGCTCCCCGTCCGGGAGATTAATTCAAAAGCGTGGTCGGCTGAAGACTTTTGAGGGTATTTTTTTAATATGGATCTAGTATTAAGCGTTTGATGTTATGTGATACATATCTTTGAACCAACAACAGTGGACTTTTGTTAGGGCTAGGCACCTTTTGAAAACCAAATTAGGAGTGAAAATGAAAGTTTTGATTGGGGACGTTATAAATAGGGCGATTCAATGGCAGTATTATTGAATTACCATATTCACCGTGTCCGACCATGTAGATGTAGTATAGTATTATTATGTACACATTTGCGTGCAACTCTACAGAATAAACGCGCTTAATATTCGCAAGGGAATGGTCAAATACTGAAAATTTCAAACATTTAATACCCAAGTCCAAGTCCAAGTTAACAGTTATCCTCTCCTATGTCATGAATCCGGAAGTATCCTTTCTCCTTTCAGTGTAGCTTTCATCTCCTATGGGCCTCCCATGTCGGCTCAAGCCACATTTGCAGTCTTTTGCCGATATATAGTTATCAACCTATCTATAATATTAAACATCTTTTTTTTGTTGAAAATAACTCTTAACTGCTTGATTAGTGTATTTGCATCCATGGTTTAGTCTTTTTAAGCTGATGTAAAAGTAAAACAACTTGAATGGGAATTGCTTATTTATTAGGAAGCTCATCCTCTGCGTCAACCCTTGGCTCTTTCATCGAACGGCTAATGTAAACACTAAACATATCGAAACCAACTGGCATGATCACTTATTTCTTATTATCAAACGGATTGAAGAGCCATTAATGGGCCTTCCCTGTCATTAATGGAGTCAAAAGCAGTGGACCGAAAAGTTTAGAGGGCATGTACGTTCTAATACGCAGTTGGCGTCTGTTAATGGGTACCCACTAAACCCTGGATCCCGAGATTAGTCTCTTCTAATTAAGCCCTTGTCTATTTAACGTCTTAGTTGAGATTATAAATTATATAATATTATTGCAGAATCTGCAAATTTATGTAGACATAACTGATCTTGGCTTAATTGGTAACAGACATACCCTTATGCTACTTAATTATGGAAGAAACTTGTATGATTTTCAATTACACAAAGTTTCTTGATAATTGATATATGTGTTTTTGATTAATTATCAGATGTATGCAAAAAATATAAATGAAATCAATTTATATTCAAAAGTTCATATATTTGTTAGCACTGATTTGGAAAATCAATTATTGAATGTTTAAGTTTGATCACTTCAAATGTCCACCAGCTGTCCACCTAGTTAGTCCATCGATCAGAGACACAGTCAAATCCTTGAGCCTTTACGCTGGCAGTGCACAGCAGTGGTCAGTGTAGGACCAGTGGGACTATGCCAACCGTTGCGAGATTAGCTTTGAACCATAATGGCGACCCGCGACAGGACAGGCATATTGAAATATATATCATTTAAATCTCATAACTACAATTAATTAAATAATTTATCTTCTTAACTTGTTCATTTTTTTTTTTTTTGCGTAATAATTCATTCCTCAACACCACCAAGTGCACAAGTAGTAAATACCTTTCATTAATTTCTACATTACTTAGACTACAAAAGTTGATGAAAAAAATTGACAAGAGTAGTATTGGCACCACTAATCAGCCGAAATTTACGGTCACATGTTTTTAGCTTAATAAATTATTTGATGCATATTTATTAGATTTTATTATCATTTAAAGCCGTCTAATATGTACACAAGTTTTAGAAATACCTTTTTTCTTAGTAGATAAGGGGCGTTGGGCAGAGATTATGAACTAGATTATATGTCAAGTAGTAATCGGTTCCATTAATGGGCTGGGTAATGCTGAATAATCCTTTGTATAAACAGGTAGAGTCATCGCCGGTTGAGCCAAATTGTTGCCCATATGCATGTCCACAAGTTGGATGTTAATCGTGGGAGAACTACAACACCTTCAATGTCATTAACACTAATTGGTTCACGTCATTTGACAAAGTCAAACTTTAGCATTCATTTCATGTTGAAAAAGTTGAATTAGTAAACGTGTTCTTAATCATTTGGAACCGTGTGAGCGTCCAAAAAAGTTGAAATCACATGGAGTTCGTACCAACCTGGCACTGAATAAGGGATAAAAGAGTAAGAGACTAGGCATGCTTGTAATAATTATGAAATGTGAGGGCATTCTTGAATCGAACATGCATAAAAACGCAAAAGTTCTGCATATATCATTCTGTCTGCTAAAACTCGTACTGAGAACAAGGCGAAGGCGCAAATATGTCTTTGAAGTTTTCTTTTTTCGAAACCCTCTTCTTTTTTTTCTATCGAATTCTCTTCAAACATTTTAGGAACTCAAAAAGTCTCCACAGAGCTGTCAGCAACAACTATAGCAAATTTCAAAGGTACAATTCTCTTGCTCACAGATCAGACCTTTCAAACCAAATTTTGATCTTCGATGTTGAAGGAGCTTTATTGAAATCCTCATCATTGTTCCCTTATTTTATGCTTGTGGCTTTTGAAGCTGGAGGTCTTTTCAGGGCTTTTATTCTACTCGTTTCATATCCATTTATTTGTTTAGTTGGTGAAGAGATGGGCTTGAAAATAATGGTCATGATCTGCTTCTTTGCGATTAAACAAGACAACTTCAGAGTTGGAACAGCTGTTCTGCCAAAGTTCTTCTTGGAGAATGTTGGGTTGGAAATCTATGAGGTGGTGAAAAGAGGAGGCAAAAAGGTCGGCGTAAGTAATATACCTAAAGTAATGATTGATAGTTTCTTGAGAGATTATTTGGAGATAGATGTTGTAGTTGGACGAGAGCTAAAGGTTTTCTGTGGGTACTTTGTTGGACTCATGGAAGAGAGAAAGAAAGAAAAGCTTGTTTTACAGGAGAACAATAGTGATGTTATCGGCATTACTCGCTTCAACAAGTCCCTTGATGGACATAAGTTGTTCCTTCAGTGTAAGGTGAGTTTTTTTATCTATATATCTTTTTGGAAATGAATCCACTTCATGTTCTTCATCAAAATGAAAAGTACAAAGAGTACTAAAAAACAGTTGAAGATGTTTCCGTACTTTCGTCTGACATTTAGTTTAAGTCAACATTGTCCTTATCTTATATAGATTGACAACTTTACTTTTACAAAACAATAATCAAGATTCCGTTTTTGATATCAACTAAAATACTGTGTAAAACTGTACTTTTAAGAATCCACTTTCTGATGCTTTTGTTTTCGTTATTGTAACAGGAGATTTACATGGTGAGAAGAACTGACAAGAGGAGCTGGCAACAGCTACCAACAGATAAATACCCAAAACCGCTCATTTTCCATGATGGTAGACTGGCTTTTAGTCCAACCGTGTTGGCTACGGTCGCCATGTTCATGTGGATTCCATTTGGTTTCATTCTTGCTATCTTCAGGGCTGTTGTTGCCTTAACTCTTCCCTTCGATATTTCCATCCCCATATTAATCTTTTCAGGGTTATTCCTTTCCGTAGATCAACCAAATAGTTCCCACTCATCGCCCAACCCCAACTCAAAGCATCTCCTTTATGTTTGTAATCATAGAACATTACTAGACCCTTTATATCTTTCTTTTACATTAAAGAAAAACTTTACAGCAGTCACTTACAGTCTAAGCAGAATGTCAGAGATCTTGGCACCAATCAAAACCGTCCGATTAACAAGAAACCGGGATCAAGATGCAAAAATGATGGAAAGGCTATTAAAACAAGGGGACCTGGTAGTTTGCCCAGAAGGGACCACATGTAGAGAACCATATCTCTTAAGATTTAGCCCGTTGTTTGCAGAGATGAGTGATAACATAGTTCCTGTAGCTTGTAACAGTCACGTTACAATGTTTTATGGAACAACTGCAGGTGGGCTCAAGTGCCTTGATCCACTTTTCTTTCTCTTGAACCCATCTCCAAGTTACACTGTGCAGTTGCTTGATTGTGTATCCGGACTGTCCAAGTGTGTTAATGATGAAAAATCAAGATTCGATGTGGCCAATCATGTGCAAAGTGAGCTCGCCAATGCATTAGGCTTTGAACCTACCAAGCTTACAAGGAGAGATAAGTACCAGATTCTGGCAGGTAATGACGGGATAGCTTGCACAAGTAAAAAACCCTAAGTCCATACCGTGCCGTGTAAAATTACCACCGCAGCCAAGTTGCAACGTGACTTGTATCAAATTCTTAATGACAGTATATATGGTCTTCTTTGTACCCTTTGGTTTCTTTTAGATAAGTAGGCAAAAACAAAATCATACATTTTTCTTTTTTAATAAGTGATTACCAGTTGTAACTTGTAATATATTTTGAATCTCCTTTTTTTTATTAATTTAATTATTATCTATTTCTTTTTGTTGTTGTTGTTGTTGATCTAGTAATGCATGGTATATGTATACTAAATTTATTGTTCTGGATTGAATAAAGTGCTTAAATAGACCAACTTCTTGATTTTTTTTGTCATATTCTATATCAACAGTTTATCGTAATTAGAGATTAAGAAATTGATTGGTATATAATTTTGTTTTGCTCAAAGTTAAAGCACGTCTCGTCATAAAAATCGAGGAATCAATATTCAACGACCATATTAAATGAGGCTGAGGCAAGGGGCCAGCAGGCCATACTTTCTCTAGATAGATGATAGAGGTTTCCCCGAAATTAAGGGCCAAGTACAGTAACTCTACCTCGTAGAAAGTAGAAACTAATAGTGTTTTAAGCTTATAGCATACAGTCGTTCGTTGGGTATAAATTGTGATTTCATTATTTACTTATAAGATTGAATATTGGAAGAATAAAATTATATATGTGATAAGTGATAAAAATACCATCAACATAAATTAAAAATTATGATTATATATTTAAATAAAGAATTTAATACTATATTTTTAAATTCATTGTTTTTGTTTTAATAATAGATAATCTACCTAAAAAAAATGCTCTCTTTGTTTTTTTATAAATGTTGTTTTGATGGTATAAATTTTTTTTTTCAAATTAAATGAGGATGATTTGTCTCTGACCCACATCTCCATTCTTCACTTTTTTTCATGACCCACGTCTCCTCTGTCTCTCTCTTATCTTATTTCCTCCCCTCATCTCTTCTCTTCCAATAGGAAAAAGAAAATGATTATATATTAAATTATTTAAATAATTCACTTACGAGCTGTAAAACCAGGGGAAAAAAATCAAATTGGAGAGAGAAACTTAAAACATCATTTATATTGAAACAAGGGAGTATTAAATTTAATGACCGGTCAACGTCAACTCTCATCATTAAACAAATGTCAACATTTACAAATACTCATTTTATTAATACTAAATTATAAAATAATAAATCTATAAAACAAAAGATAGAAAATTTAAATACAACAAAAGGTCAAAATAATAATTTCATTACTTGTGTTTCTATGGCTCAATTTCAATAATTGATGTGAGTCTGTCTAATATAACATGTCTTTATTTTTTATTTATGTTGCTAACAGCAAACTTATTAACTAGACTTAGCAGACTCGTGATTGTTTAAACATTTTAATCAGACGCATTTCTGATTTTCGAAATATTAGCTAAACTGCATCATGATTCATGTTATATTTCTAATCTAGGTATGGATTGAAGCAATTCTTGTATTGACTTTTATTAGCTATCCTTTTCGGTGCAAGTTTGACCTTGAACAAACTCAATAGAGAGTCAGAAAAATGGTAAGTGAATTTGTAGATACCAGCTTCATGTATTCACAGGTTTTGCCATGTGCACTGTCTGAAATGAATTTATTGTACCTAACATAATATAATATATGATTGAATGATCATGAATTTGTTCGAATATAAGCGCTCTTGCTCCGTATACCATTCAAATCAACAAAATTTGTATATACTATATATTGGGACCTCCGAATCAACAGATTAGCTGGTTTATGGCAATTTTTCATGTGCCAGTATAATTGTATATCCCAGTGTTGTCTGAATCAAACATGCCAGCTCTGCTGCCCACTCCTCACTTGCAGTACTTCATAATTGCCTAAAAGATTCTCCCTTTTTCGAAAACCTGAATACCACCATTCCGAATGTCAATCACCATAAATAGTGTACACAACACAGGATCATGGTGGCCTGCTGCTAGCTAATTCTACTTGGCCCACTCATAAACTTGTCTTTATATGCATACATATTTATTATTTATTTAAAACGCTTGTGTTGACTTGTCTCTGGAACATAACCTTTCACATGTCTTATAATTCTTTTGATAGAGCTGTAATTACCTTTACAAACAAAAATTGGTTAATACCTAAGCTAACTATTTTACTAAATTTATCAGTTCAATTAATGGTCACAATCTGTGAACCAATCAGATTGGAAAAACGTCTCTTGATTTATTAAAAATATGGTGTTAAGTTAAGCATTTGTTAACAATACTGGGATCTTGCCAAAATTTAAAGGTGAAAACCCTCATCTCATAATATTTGTACATTTTGCAATTGGACTCACTAAGCATAAAATGGCCCAATTAAAATTTCCTTATAGGCCCATATAAGGAAATTTTAATTGGGCTTGTCAAGTATGTCCATTAACCCATGACATTGTGAGGCTGTCGGTTGAGACTTGAGACTCAAGAGAAGTCCCCAGAATAATAAATATAAAAAACAGGGACAAATCAGTAAATCTGGAAAATTCCTCTCCGTCATTCTTTAAGCCGCTCCTGCTGCATAATTTAACCTAGCCTCTCTTCACAATCTCCTTTCTAGGGTTTTTTTTTCTTTTTTTTAAAAAAAAAAAAAAAAAAACTATATCTTCACTCGAGTTCTAAGCAGTTGGGTGTCATAAGGGTTTGGATGGGAACGGAGAGGAAGAGGAAGGTGAGCTTGTTTGATGTGGTAGACGAGACATCGGTCTCAGCGAAGTTAGCCAAATCAAACGGTGCTGGAGCCACGATGAACAATAACAATAGTTTGATTAATCGATGGAATGGGAAGCCTTACTCGCAGAGGTATTACGAGATACTGGAGAAGCGTGCAACTTTGCCCGTCTGGCATCAGAAGGAGGATTTTTTGCAGGTCTTGAAAGCCAATCAAGTTCTGATATTGGTCGGTGAGACTGGTAGTGGGAAAACTACTCAGGTTAGTCTGGAATTTTTTTCCACAAAACGACACGGAACAATACCGACAAATGATGTTTTAGCTAATGCTTTCTTTTACTTTCACTTGATGTTCGTTTAATGTTTTGGATTATGATTTGATACTTATAAGTTATTAATTTATTTGATGTATCAATGGTAACTTCTATATTTAATGAAAGACCGTCTATTGAAGCAGCATAGGGGATAAACATCTTTACTTTTGAGTTACATATATACCTTTAACTAGTTATTTCATGCATTGGCAAATGTTGTAGACCTCATATTTATCCATGAGCTTTAGGAAGCAAAAAATATTTAGAGTTTGGGATACCTTTACAAAATTGCAAAAGTGCAGTGTTGGAAGCTATTCATGTGAATTTGAACATATTTGAAATAATATTAAATGAAGTTGTTTGAGTGGCTAAGTTAGAATTGTTTCTTCGCTACAGATTCCTCAGTTTGTATTGGAAGCTGTTGATATAGAAACCCCTGATAGACGTAGGAAGATGATGGTTGCGTGCACCCAGCCTCGTAGAGTGGCTGCAATGTCTGTTTCTCGGCGTGTTGCAGAAGAAATGGATGTAGCTATTGGAGAAGAGGTTGGTTATAGCATCCGTTTTGAAGATGTCAGCAGTGCAAGAACAGTTTTGAAGTAAGTTCTTTGTACCCACACAAGTCCTTTTATATTTGTGGTGCTGTTTAACTTAATTGTCTTCTACTTTTCATTTTTTAGGGGAACTTTTACTGGTGTGGCAATTTTATTTATGTTTTTGCTGTTTTGCTTGGCAGGTATCTAACAGATGGTATGCTTTTAAGAGAGGCAATGACTGATCCGCTTTTGGAACGATACAAAGTAATTATTCTTGATGAGGCTCATGAAAGGACGTTGGCCACAGATGTGCTATTTGGTCTTTTGAAAGAAGTGTTGAAAAATAGGCCTGATCTGAAACTAGTTGTCATGAGTGCAACTCTTGAGGCTGAAAAGTTCCAGGGTTATTTTAATAGTGCACCACTCATGAAGGTTCCTGGTAGGCTTCATCCAGTGGAAATTTTCTATACTCAGGAACCGGAGAGGGACTATCTGGAGGCAGCTATTCGAACAGTTGTGCAGATACACATGTGTGAACCTCCAGGGGACATACTTGTTTTTCTAACTGGAGAGGAGGAAATTGAAGATGCATGCCGCAAAATATCTAAGGAGGTTGCTAATTTGGGTGACCAAGTGGGCCCTGTAAAAGCAGTGCCTCTGTATTCCACTCTTCCTCCAGCTATGCAGCAGAAAATATTTGAACCTGCTCCACCTCCACTTAAAGAAGGGGGACCTCCTGGAAGGAAGATTGTAGTCTCTACAAACATCGCAGAAACTTCTTTGACCATAGATGGAATAGTTTATGTGATTGATCCAGGGTTTGCTAAACAAAAGGTTTATAATCCACGAGTGCGCGTGGAGTCCTTATTGGTATCTCCAATATCAAAAGCAAGTGCACATCAGCGATCTGGGCGTGCTGGAAGAACTCAACCGGGTAAATGTTTTCGTCTCTACACTGAGAAAAGTTTCAATAATGATCTTCAGCCACAGACCTATCCAGAAATATTGCGATCAAACCTAGCAAATACAGTGCTTACCTTGAAGAAACTGGGCATAGATGACCTGGTACATTTTGATTTTATGGACCCCCCTGCTCCTGAGACACTGATGCGAGCATTAGAAGTGTTAAATTACTTGGGAGCACTTGATGATGATGGATACTTGACAGATCTTGGGGAAAAGATGAGTGAATTTCCATTAGATCCTCAGATGTCAAAGATGCTTGTTGAGAGTCCAAGATACAACTGCTCGAATGAAATTCTTTCAGTTTCTGCCATGCTTTCAGGTATTGTTGCTTTTCATTCTTCTTATTTTGCGTCTGTCTTGAGTCTGGTCTTTAAAAGGTTAGGAGGTGCTGCTAGGATGCCTCATCCTTGAAAGCATCTCTATCTGTCCAGCATGTGTGCAGACACTGGCTCTGCATGATGTTAGATTTTTAACTGCTTTCATGTGTATCTAGATATACATGCTTGCAGTTAAATATGTTGAGTGTCTAGTTAGGTTGTCATCAGCAACTGTCTTGTCTGGGATCCATGCCCCCGGTTGGCATGCACCATAGGATTCTAAGTAAGTGCTGATGCAGATAGTTGCAGTTTCTCAGTATTCTCTCATGAAGCAAATGGTGTCGTCCGCCTCTATGCATCTGCTGACCTACCGTGGGCCTCTTCTGTGATAACCAAATATTCTTTCTTTAGTACCCAATTGCTTTGTCCGGCCTAGGGAGGCTCAGAAGGCTGCAGATGAAGCAAAAGCTAGGTTTGGGCACATCGACGGGGATCACCTGACGCTCTTAAACGTATACCATGCTTACAAGCAAAACAGTAAGTACTTTTTTTATTTGTTCTCTTTTTCTCAATGAGTTTATTATCCGTATATTAGATGCTAATTTTGCTTTTTTATTTGTAAATGGGTTGCAGACGAGGATCCATCTTGGTGCTATGAAAATTTTGTCAATCACAGGGCATTGAAGGCTGCTGATAATGTTAGACAACAGCTGGTTCGCATCATGTCACGGTTCAACCTCAAGTTATGCAGCACTGATTTTAATAGCCGGGACTACTATGTCAACATCAGAAAGGCTATGCTATCTGGATATTTCATGCAAGTAGCTCACCTGGAACGCACTGGACACTATTTGACAGTTAAAGATAACCATGTATGTGTTTTTTTTTTTCAGTAAATTATTTAATAAATGTTGCACATTTAGAGTTTGGTCCTTTTTATTTGTTTTCTTTATTAATCTTTGCTTTTCACACTGATTCCATGTTTATTTTTATTTTAGGATATGGTAATAATGTATTAAAAAGTTGTTTTCCATTTCGCACTTTTCAGGTGGTACATTTGCATCCATCAAATTGCCTGGATCACAAGCCAGAGTGGGTCATCTATAATGAATATGTTCTTACCAGTCGGAATTTTATCCGTACAGTTACGGATGTTCGTGGTGAATGGTGAGTTTTGTGTTGTTAACCGTGTTATTGGTCCTTCCCTTGTCCTGGTCATTGATTTTTGCCAAATCTTATGACTCATTCCATTTGAAACTTATAAACTATTTTAATAAATAAATCGAGTTTGGTGATAGTTTATGATGATGTCGCTCAATAAGCAAAATCTGTTTTGACTGCAGGCTAATTGATATAGCACCACACTACTACGATCTTACAAACTTTCCCCAATGTGAGGCCAAACGTGTTCTTGAGAAGCTTTACAGGAAGCGGGAGAAGGAGAGGGAGAACCGAAAATGAAAGTATGAATATTATTGTATTCCAAGATGAGATGGGAGTCGTGTTTTGAGAGCTATATAATATATTAATTATATGACCTGTAGAAGAACTTGTTAAATTCTATGTACCATTTCCTACAATTGGGAGATCCTACTGACCTTTTCATTTGTAGAATCAGCCCTTCAGTTTGTTTTTTGGGATATGATTGGAGTTCAATTGTTTTTCATCATTTGGTTATGACTCAGCTCATTATGTTCTGTGGTTCAGTGATTTATTCGCCTCTATATTTATAAAAAAAGAATATTCGGGACATGCATGAGAAAGTAAGACTTCATTACTTTGGTAATTTTATTACAAGCACCAATAGAATGCAAGTAAAAAGTATGACTTCGCAAATAGTAGATGCGATGTCGCATTCTCCTTGGAATGGAGCAGTGCGCATTGGTGTTCTACATTTCAAGAAAAGGAGATTCGACCCAACTACCTGCCTTCTGCTTGCGAACGCGCTTCTCATTCAGCATTTTTCTCAACTTAACAACAATATTCCATGCCCCGTTTTCACCATGAATCCTGGTCAGCATTGAATACACTGCAGGGTGGTCTTTTTCAAGTCGGGAAATTCCCTCTGCAGCCAACTCCCCCAGCTTTATATTTGAATGAAGGCCACAACCTCCAAGTAATGCACCCCAAATTACCACGTCACCCTCAAATGGCATTTCTTTTATCAATTTCTCTGCTTTGTCCAGTTGACCAGCTCTGCCATAGAGGTCCACCATACAAGCATAATGCTCTGCCTCAGCTTGGATTCCATGCTTTGTCTCCATGGAATCAAAGTGTTTTTCACCTTCTTCAACTAAACCTCCATGTCCACATGCAGATAACAAATTAACAAATGTAACTTCATCTGGCTTAACACCCATTTTTTTCATTCTCTCAAACTCCTCCAATGCTCTTTTTCCAAGCCCATGCCTGCCATAACCTCCTATCATTGAATTCCATGATGCCAAATTCTTCCTCTGCATCGACTCGAAAACATAGAATGCTGCATCTATGTCCCCACATTTTGCATACATATCAACAAGCGATGTAGACAAAATCACGTCCTCCGGGATACCAAACTTCATAATGCTTGAATGAACTTGCTGTCCCACAAGAAGAGAACAACAACCTGCACAAGCATCCAACACACTTGAATACGTAAACTTATTAGGCATTGTATCCGATTTCACCATCAAGACAAACAGCTTCAATGCATCAACAAATCTTTCACTTTGTACATACCCACTAATCATCACAGTCCATGAAATGACATTCTTTCCAGTAATCTTATTGAATATGGACCGAGCTTTCTTAATTCTCTTATTCCTAATATACCCATTAACCAAAGTAGTCCAAGAAACAACATCCTTCTCTGGCATCGTGTCAAAAGTTTTCTGAGCCTCGTGCATGCACCCTAACTCCATGTATCCCGAAACCAACGCATTCCACGAAGTAACATCTTTATTCAAAATTTCATAGAACGCTTTACTTAATCCCACGCCATCCCCCGAGTTTGCATAGGCTTTCATCAATGCCGACCCAACAAACACGCTTGCATTAAGCGCCAAACAAATAATACGTGCGTGAATTTGAGGCACCAAAAGCTTAAGCTCCGTGTTCAAGACCGCGCTAAGAATGATAGACAATGTATACTCGTTGGGCTTCAGACCAGCTCTTTCCATTTCTAAGAAAACTTGACAGACTTTTTCTGGGTTTTTGGCCTGGTTTAAGCCTGACAAAATGGTATTATATGAAACTATGTCTTTTGCCGGCATTTTATCGAATAGGCTTTGGGCTTTAATAATTTGGCTGTTTCGTAGGCATTTAGAGATGGTTCTGTTCCATGAAACAACGTTTTGTAATGTGGTGGTCTGATCAGTTAGTCTATTAGTATTGATTTGGTGATTGGGTTTGAGATTGGCGGTTGAAAACGTAGACGTGTGGATGTAGTGGCAAAATGATGAATGGCGATTGAACCATCGCATTTTCTTTGATGGGGCTTAAACCAAATGGAACCAAATGGCGTCCTCTCTGGTTATGAAGACTTGCTTGCCTAGTTGCAACTTATTGACGAGGGTTTATCAAATGCGTTTTACTTTCTGATAAACTTATATATTATTAGGTTTTTCATCTATTATTAGGTTTTTGTAGTGAATATTTTATTCATAGTTTGCTCTAGTTGTTCTAGACAATAAATTTGAGCATGACTAGGTCTAGGTTTAAACTTTTCTGAATACGAGTTTTCAGATGACAAGGAAAAAAAAAAAAAAAAAAGAGTTAGGTTTAAAACATAACCCAATTAAATAGCAGATCAGCTGAATGTCCTGTGCATATAAGCATTCGCCAAAAGGTTTGAATACCCAAATGAGAGCTGTTTCTACCTTTTATTTTTCTAAAAAAGTCTCTTATTGAAGAGCAGTTGGAAACCAACCCCGTGCATAGCACTATCTTGACTCAGACATTAGCTCTTAACATTATTCATCAGCGTCTTCCTACAGCCAATTTCCCGTAGAGTTCATCAATTTCCACCTGCAAAATGTTATAGGTAATTTGTCAACTCCTTAACCACTGTTTAAGAATATGATAAGTTCAACCAATACTTGAGAGAAGCTGGAGAAGCCCAACAAGAGAGCAATTCTTACAACCTGATAATGATGGCGCAACTTGTTTCTTCTTTTCTTCAATGTGGCAGTCACCAGATCCCTTTCCATGTCAAAGGGATGAGGATCCAGAATGAATCCTTTGATGTATTCAAAGCCCCTGAGCTGGACGTTTACCAACAAAAAGAGAAAAGAACAACAACAAAAAACCTATTAGCAGGATTGAAGAATGGCCGATATATTTCACCTGTAGACTGTAGTTAGTTAGAAAGTTCATCCTAATTATGACATTTGTATGGTCGCCAAGGAGGTAATGCAACACAAATTCAGGTAATAGGGTGGTTTATGCTGGTTGCTTTTCAATCGTATCATGTATGCTTACTTTTCAATCTTCACATATTTATGTATGCAATTTGCATTCTAACTATTTGTAGAAAGAATTCAAAGAACAAGTTATTTTGGAGCGGTAGAGGTTGATTTATGGATCAGGTTCTTTGATTGAAGCTTTTAACTCAAGCGCGTCCAAGTTTCAATATCAATAGGATGAAAAAGTAAAAGAATTCTTTAAATCTAATAAAAAAATAGCCAGTCAAAAACCCAAAACAATTACCTTCTTTTTCTCAGCTGCACAGTTTAGCTCTGAGAGGACATAATCCTTTAGCTGATCAAGAGAACAAAGTTCCGAGAATGAAACCATATGCCCCTTTGAGTATGCCCACTTTTCAGTGCTTTCTTCATGTGGCACAACTACTGCTACTAACATTGACTTGAAGCTGTCTCCGTAGACCCAGATCTTAAAGAAAAATATGAAAAAACATGATTAAACTACCAAGAGCAAAGTAATAACCAGAACACAGTGCTTTAAACTAATGAGAAAATATGATTACATCTTCAACAATAGGAGCTATGTTGTAGACATTTTCCAAATATTCAAGAGCCACATACTCTCCTTGGGATAGTTTTATAAGATTCTTTTTCCTATCAATAATCTTAACAACTCCATTTGGAAGTATCTGACCAATGTCCCCTGAGAATGCCAGAGAAAAATAAAATCAGAATAAAATCAATTTTGAGGAATTCTGTTTGACGAGAAATGTAAGTGATCAACCTGTATGAAACCACCCATCTTTAATAGCTTCTCTTGTGAGTTCAGCATTTTTGTGATACCCAGCAAACAGAGTCTTGCCTCTCACGCATATCTCACCAGTCGGAGGATCAGAAAGAGGATGGTAGCCCATATCTGGGACTTCCTCCAGGCGTAACTCATTGTACACGGCTACTGTACCAGCAGCACCAACCATGCACATTTCATCTGGAAATCCAAGAGTAACCGGCCCACAAGTTTCTGTCAATCCTGGAGAAGCCACACTGAATATTAAAAGGTGTACAAAAAAAAAAATTAATTAATTAATTAATTAAATGGGATCAACCCTCACTCTGTAAAAGAACTTGAATGAATTAACTGAAAACTATGCTATCATAAAAAATTAAGATTCGTTTGTCTTTTAGTTAAAACTTGTAACATGAAGACTCCAGTAAAACTAGCAAACTATTGTGGTAATTTTAGCTTAACAGTAAAGAGCTTAAAGAGATCCGCAGCCTTTGTCTGAAATAACAATAGAGCCCATAGTATAACTCCATTCAAAAGGGTGTGAAAAATTCCATGTCGTTTTTTTGAATTATATTTTAGCTCACAATTGTTTCTATGTCCTCCCATTCTTCTATGTCCTAGCTGCTGCTACATGCAGAGATCTTTACCATAGCCTTGGACTAGAAAGGCACAGCAAGTAACCCGTAAGAATTCTTCCACCTCAGTGCTCAAAGGTGCACCACCACATACTACCAGTCGAAGGCGACCACCTAACCTAGCTTTAACCTGAAAAAAAACATATTAGACAAAATGCATTTTTAAAGTAATCAGGGAAGTCAATAATGTGGGAGGATTGATCCATGTTTTAAATTCTGCTGTAACTAGTTATCCAGCCAGACGATCAGTTCTGAAATATAATAAGTAGTAATTTACGAGATAAACTACAACCTTCCTGAAGGCTAACAAATCTGCTAAAGGTGACGCATATTTCTGCTTGTACCCCATATTCATCCAACCAAGTTTGCTGCATATCAACGGAGCATATATCAGCATCATAATTATGATCATGGCACAGAAGGTACTTTTTTTCCAATTAATTTCAAGAGAAAGAAAACTATTGTGGCTTGAGGAAAAATAATGAAATACAATGAAGAGCATCTTACTATTTGTAGAGAGCATCAAAAATTCGCCTCCGCAGAGGTCTGAGTTCTTCCAATGCTTTCTGTATGCCTGAGATAAAGAAAAAAAACCTTGAACCAGTTACGACTGACGAAATTCAGAACTAAGGAAAATTTCAGTGTTTCTTCTCGTATGATTGATGAGCAGCTAAATTTCCCTGCCTTCATGAATCTTTTCAAAGACTCGAGGCACACCAGCCAGAAGTGTTGGCTTCAACTCCATCAAATCATCCTTCAAAGCATTCAAATCCTTGAAAAAGAAAATGAACATTAATTTCAAGAAAATATTATGAGTAATGGAATATATATGCATAAAGCACTACAAAACATCAGTTATATATAAAGTATGAAAAGAAAACGTGATCTGAAAACAGCAGAAGTCTAACTATTTCTTAAACAAGATGCCAAGCAAACGCTATAGTAAGTGCAAAAAATCTTCAAGATTTTGCTTCTGAGTTGTTTCCTTTTTGTTTACTCAACCAAACATTAGAATATTGATTCCCCTCTCCCTCTCTCTCTCTCTCTCTCTTTTTAAAATAACTTTTCCCCTCATATTGTTGGTTTTGCTAGAGAATAAAGAAGAAAAACTGATGATAGAGAGAGAAACGTAGGCTGGAATTCATGCTCTGTTTTTCATTCAAAAAACAGGGACAATTTTATACAAGAACCTGCTACTGTTTCACGTAAAGTTTTGCAAATTTAAAATTTAAACTAAGCACTTCAACTAATGCAGGTACAAACATATCAAATACAATATTTAAACAAACCTAATTCACCTAAACACATCACCGAAACCTTTCTAAAACAGTGACAAAAAAAAAAAAACTTCTGCATGCACAGCGGAAGTTCAAACGGTGGCGGCAAAACATGTAATTTTTATTTTCTGTCAACTTTATCATTTCCAGCATAATATCACAATCTTCAACACATATCTACTCAGAATGAAACAGAGTTCTAAAATGAAGAAGAGAGTTCAAGTAGCATACTCCATGATAATAACCAACAGAAGCACCCTTTCGGAAAAAGTATTCCTCGATCATGCGGTCAAGGATATGAGCAAGAGGTAGGAAAGACAGATACACATCATCCGGCGTCATCTAAGAAAATTCATAAAATAATATCTCAGGATTCCAAAAAAAAAGAAAAAAAAGGAGAACAAAAGACTGATTGTATGAACATATTCCAACGTCAATGCAGATTGTTATTATGAAAAAACAGATATCTCAAATTTTTGCCTGGAAAGAGAATACTGAAGAAACCATTGAATTAACATTTTTTGTAAAAAGAAAAATTGGACTGATGAGGAGCTAAATAGTTGTACAGTGTTCACATATCAAAAAAGAAAATGGTTGAAACTTGAACAATAGGAAATCATATCATTGAAAAAAATGTATTGGAGGTTTAAGATTACAATCACCTTGTCTTCAAATTGTTCCATAAAGAGGTCAATCCCTCTAACAAATGTGGAAATTGTTTCATGTGTTAGGACAACTCCTTTTGGATCTCCACTGGTGCCACTTGTATACATAATTGTGCAGATACTAAAGGGCTGAGGCGGCAAAATCTCTGATGTATTTTCTTTCCCCTGTGAGAAAGATGAATCACAACAGAGAAAGATGGAAGTGACAACAATTAAATTTGTTCCACACAAACAAAAAATTAATAAATAAAACTAAAAAAACAGTTCTTTCCTAGAATCATGGAGTGAAAGCATATTCCCCAAGTTAATTATCAATTATTCTACACTTTGGTGGTTTGGTAAGGGAGTTCTTCTGCAACTTGTAGACGGGAAAAATGGCATTCAGTAGGATATTGTATGATGTAATAAGGGCTCTATAAAACATAACATCAAGCAAAAATAAAGTCCACCAATATTAGAATCTAAAATTGAATGCAAATATCACTATAATGGTCAATAAATTTAGGATGGCAATGCCTTGCTTCAAAATAATAAGAATAAAAAGAAGGGAAGAAAATCTCTGTTGATTGTCTGTTCTTTCTTCACCATACACCATGGCTGTACACAGTCAGAGTTTACTTCCACATTTTACAGTAATCAGATAAATAGAAAATTTAACCACTAACCAAGTGGAGGAACTCATCCCATGAGTATGATTTAACCCCAGTGCGAGCAACCTTTTCTTTATCCTCCTCAGCCAACGAGGTGAAGCAAATAATTGCTGCAACCGCAAGCAAAGCTCAGAAAAAGTGCATTC